CAGTGGACTGAGTGCCGGCCTGGGAACCAGAGGGTCACACAGTTCAGTTCCCAGTCAGGGGACGTGCCTGGGTTGCAGGTCAGGTCCCTAGTTAGGGGTACGTGAGACTAACCACATGTGGATGTTTCTCTCACATTCTCCCTCCCTCCCCTCTCTAAAATAAATAAATAAGTAAATCTTTATAAAAAATTAGAAATATTCTAATTTCTAAGTCTGGAAATTATCTTTGTTTACTAGGCAGATGGGAATCTTGTAAGTGAAGGCCTGTAGATGTTTTTTCAAGGCATGAACCAAAGGCCCCTCCCCCTCCCTGGCCTGTCCCAGTTTGTCCCCTTGCTGAGTCCTGTGTTCTTTCCCAGCAGCCTCTGCTTGCTCTGGAGGGGGGAGGACTTGGGCGGTGTCACAGGGACTTGTCCCTAATGAGCTGTGACGCAGCTGCCAGAGGACAAATGCTGCGACTCCCTCAGCCACTCTCAGTGCCTAGCAGCAGGGGGACCGGTCCCCTTCTCGGTACCCATTGGCTGGTTTTCTTGGCAAAGTTCAGGTTTCGTGCTCACAGCTCACTGCTCACAGTGAAAAGGAAATGCAGAAAAGGGGGGTGTTCGGGAAGGCACGGCCCCTGCTCCAGTCGCCGCATGGGGGCGCGAGCAGGGAGGCTTTGAATGACCTGCGTTTCCCAGTGTTTCTTGGGAGTTTTTATTGGCTTGTGAGCACTGCGGGCCGTGCATTCAAAGAATGAGAATTTCCGTTCAGAAACCTCTCAAGTTTGAAAAAAACACCTCCTTCCATCTTTAAAGCTGTTGCTTTTCTCCTCACACAGTACCCCTGTGAGAGGGAGCGGAGTAGTAGTGATGTTGTTACAGAGCACCTACTGTGTGCTGGAGAAACCCCTTTTATGAAGCGTTGCCTCATTCAATCCGTGCAGCCACCCTTGGAAGTGGCTACATCACTGTGAGTTTTTTTTTTGAATCGTGGCAAAAACACAGGACACAAAATGTGCCACCTTAGCCCTGTTTAGACACATGGTTCAGTGCGTGTTAAGTCTTTTCACACTGTTGTGAAACGGATCCCCCAGGACGTCTGCTTCTTGCAGACCTGGCTCTTTCCCCATCAGAGTGGAAAATGCTCAACTGACCAGTGAGTTCTCTTGTTCAGCAGGATGGGAATTGCCTTCCCGTTCCTCTTCTGTGCTGCCTTTCTGTCACGTGCTTAACCGGTACCCAGCACGGGGCGGTGAGCCGGGGCCTGCCTGCGTTAGTGCCGCTGGCTTCCCTGCTCAGCACGATTGCTGGTGGCCTGGTGGCCGTCGGTCACTGTGGGGCGCAGTGGGGCTGTGCCCGCCTGGGCTCTCCGCCTCGTCTTCAGCTCAGGCTGGACTGATCTGCACAAGTTCACTGGTGACTTCATCACCTCACGACTTGCCCCGGGCATGCTTATGTTTTTGGTGGGTAGCTTCTGATTTAGGAAACACAGTACTGTACAAGTACGCTTTTTAAAGCAGCTTCCTATTTTGAGACCCATTTTCTTGCTGAGGAGTTTCTCTGTTCCATCAGGCACTGCAGGGCAGTGTCTGCAAAGGTCACAAGAGTTCCTCTCAGTGCTCGTGTCACTGGAGAGACAGTTCACGCCTGCCTGTTCACCGAGCCGGCCCAGCAGCTGTCTGTGCACCAGCCTCCCGGCCAGGCCAGGCTGGCTCCCTGGGGAGAGCCGTTGCCCAGCCCCTTAGCCCAGCCACCACAGCTGGGCAGGACGTTTGTACCATTTTTTCAGATTAAGGAAGGGATGTCAGTCCCTAGTTTCTGTTGATAATGTTAAGAAAACCAGGGCTGGTGCGCCAGCTAAGCCTTGGTCCTGAGTCGGGCAGAATATGTAGTACCTCGACCTTTTTTTCCTTTTTAAATCTTAGATGCACAGATTTCATTAGTTAGTTGTGACTCTTGGTTCATCACACATTTTGTCCTCGGTCTGTGGGTGTTTCACGTATCAGTGCTTCTCTCCAGTCTTCTGCCTGCCAGCACCATGGGAGACGTTAACAGTCCTTAGATTCGCTGTAGATGTGTTACAGATCAATAACTCAGCTTAGGCGTGCATTTAAGATAACTCAAAAAGAACCTGTAGATCTGATTTACTAATTTTGATTTGTGCCAACGGCCACAGGTTAACAAAATGTTAGTATTTTTAAACTTGAAAATTCATAGTTTACATATAAGTAAAATGTGGTAACCCTCAAATTTAAGGCTGTTTTATTTTTGGCGTGCCACGCTTAACCTTCGTCAGCCTTGGTTTTTGTTTTGTCATCGAAGACCTGGCTTCATGCCCGGTGGCCTGTCATTCTGCTGGGCTGTGTAGTGGCAGCCGTAAAAGGATGTCGACAGGGGGTGCTGTTTGGCGACGGCTTAGACCAGAAACTTCACAACATGTCCTCATAGTTTCCCTGGTTTTTAAGTAGATTTATTGGTCGTAGTGACTTTCTTCTGTAAGGAGCAGGGGACCTGCTCTCCTCACCACTGAGGCTGACCCTGGGCTGAGATGGTGGGGGGCTCCTGGGGGTCGGGGTCGAGCTCAGCTTTTCAGTGCTTTCCAGCAGGTCGCAGGTCGGGGCAGTGGTGCAGGCCCCAGCGACAGGGACGCTGGGCTTCAGCCCCACGATTAGATGGTGATCACTAGCGATGCGAGTGTGGACACGTCATCCTTCAGTCTGTGGCCTCGTGCCATTTCCGATGGCAGTTGCATTTACGTCTTCTGCCCTTTAACAGCGTTAGGTAATCTTCCGAGTGTCTCAGGTCCTCTCCCTCTCTTTCTGCAGTTGCTGCTGCGTTACTGCAGCTTTTCTGACTTCTGGAGGGGCACCCCGACTGTGTGCCTGTGACTTTTGGGGCGCTTGTTGAAGACTTCAGGAAGTCTTGTGGGGCCTGCGGCTGCTCCCAGGGTCCCGCCTGCCAGACCCCTCCCATCTTCTGCGTTTGCTGTCAGAACACACGGCTGATGGTCACACTGCTGGTGGTCACGCTTGTCCCGGACGCCGCTGCCACCCATGAGAGCAGATCCCGCGAGGCTCTCAGAGAAGGCTGTCCAGGGCGGGCTTGCCCTGCGGGGACTCCACGTGCTCTTCCTCCCCCCGCCACCCTCAATGTCTGCAGCTCTGCCCGCGCTGCTTTGCGTGTCCACTGAGGCCCTCACTGCACTGTTGCGTGGCCCTTTCCTGTTGTGTTGGGGAGCTGTGGGAACACCCGCTCTGCACCAGGCAGTGCGCCTGTTGCTGGGGAGACGGTGGTGAACGCAAAAATACCCATGTGGAAGTGCCCTGCCCAGCTTACATCTCAGCCCCCCCCCCCCCCCCCCGCCCCACTGGCCCATAAATGTGCGGGACGGTCTTTCTCATCTTGGTGTCTCTGTCGTCTGGAGCAGAGTAGGAGCAGTGTGCGCTCGCGTGTGTGTGGTTGGTTAGTTTATTTGGCCGACTGCTGTGGCCACCCAGGGAGGAAACCGGGAAGGGCACTTGTTCCCTGACACGGTTGCCACCATGTCTCTCTCTGCCTCCTCGGAGGACAGCGTTACGGACAGAGACCTGGCGGCCAGGACTTGGCGCTCACTTTGCTGGAAGGTTAATGTCCGCTGGCATCTGTGCCACAGCCAGCGCAGGCGTCTGGGTGGGAGGCAGGAGGTGGGGAAAAAACAGAATTAGTGTAGGTTTGAACTTGTTCTTGCAAGATTGACTTTTTTGGTTAGGAGTGTGAAAAGTTAATGTTCATTCTCATTTTGCTGTGTGGTATGATTGTCATGTGGCTTCCCGGAGTCCTCGCGCTCCTCCCCACTGATCTGCCACAGACTTCTGGCCGTCCTGCTCTCGGCACAGCTGGTCAGGTCTCCTCTCTCCAGATGCGGCCCTGGTTGCCATTCACACTGGTGCTTGTGTTCTGTGAAAACACTGGGAAGCATCCATCAGTGCACACGCCCATGCCTGTAGTCAGGGGTCACACTGTGCCCCTGGTTCCCCACGATGGGGAAGGACGGCTGTGGTGGGACTTGGCAGGTGGCTTGTAGAGGACGGTTTTCAGGGACAGGACACGGTGTGGCCCGGCTGTGTGGGCAGGGTCCGGGGGTGGCTAGCGTTTACCGCATGCAGCGGGGATGGATGGCAGGGTGACTTTACCAGACGTGGCTCCTCCCCCTTTATGTGGAGGGAGGAGGGTGCGAGAGCCCACCTGCCCTGGCGTGTTCAGGGACTGGCTTGTTCGGCTGCTGTCACACTGCAGCTCACTCCAGTCGGGCTTGCCTGGCGACAAGGCTTCAATTCAAGTAGGGCCATTCGGATCTTGCCCTGGCCTCTCACTGAATTCAGCCGGACCTGGGCGTCTCCCTCTCCCTGCCCTTTCTCTTCCAGGAAGCCTCCCCCTGGGCTGGGCCCTCTGTCCCCACCGCACCCCCTGTTCACCGAGGTTTGTCTTTGAGGCGCAGACACGGATAATTAGCCTCAGAGTCCCTGTGCTCTCTCCCCGGTGGATCCCCAGTATCTCCAGGGAAAGGCTGGCTCTCAGCCTGAGCCCGCACCCTCCCCACCATGGACTCGCGTGTTGTTGTGGTGTCCCGTGGTCAGGTCACGGCTCTTACACCTTAGGTGCCCCCGCTGTCTCTGTGAAAAAGCCAGAATCATCTTTTTCTCCCCGACTCCCACAACACTGCTAATTCCTGTCTGTCTGTCTGTCTGTCTGTCTTTGTATGTTCCTTTCTCAGCTAAGCTTCCCATGCGTGAGAAGTACTGTATTATTTCACACACAGGGTGGGTGCTCACTAAATGCTCCATGAAAGAATCCTTGTTATCTCTGCTTGGTAGAGTTTATTTTTCTGGATGATCACTAACTAGAATGTAGAAAACAGTAAGTTAATAAATGACTAGGAACCACGGCTACGGGTGTATTAATAATTTCCAAGTTTGTACTCAAGGCAGGCAGCATGTTGTCAGGTTGAGCCCTGTGGTCTGGCCCCGCCACCAGGGTGTGCTGGCCACAGAGGCTTCCTCTCTCGTGGCACCACCTCGAGGCAGCTCGTGTTCTGTTTGCAGCAGCTAGTGTGTGTGACGGTCCTCCGTCCCGTGAGGTTTCAGAGGGAGTGTTTGCAGGCGGAGCAGTTTGAGGAACGAAGGGAGAACTGGCCCGAGGGCTGCGGTGCCCAGGACCGGCTCCGCGGGCTCCGCGTGTGCTTCGTGGCAGGTCCAGGCGGGACTGGGGACAGGCTGCTCGCACCCCGAGCTCAGCCACCCCTCCCCAGAAAATGCCAGTTTATCCCAGGGATCAAGCAGAGAAGCAGGGCCCTAAAGTCCCTGCTGTCCCTTCTGGACCCTGTTGCTAGGCCCTGTCCGTCCAGGTTCAGAGCCATTGCCGGCCCCACGCACCTACCAGGCGGCGCCTCGTTTCCCTGGGGCGGCCGCTGGGTACAGGTGTGGCCCCCCACAGGGGTGGGTGGTGTCCTTAGAGTGCAAGCCGCCGAATGACTCCCTGCCGGTGCTGGTTGAAACAGAGGGGCTCCTTAAGGTTGTCCCAGGTGAGTCAGTCACCTGTTGTGAATCTGTGGAGTAAACGAATTTCTGACTCCATGTTCGCAGCAAAGCACGTTTATGTCAGCTGAAGGCTGATTGTCAGGAAGAGGTGTGTGCGTGTTTCTATGGTGTGGGGGGCACCCGGGGGCACACGGGGCCTGGGTGGGCGGCACCAGGTGTGCGGGGACCCTGCGGCCTCTCACCAGCTCTCTCCCCGCAGGAGCTGGAGGCGGCGCTGCACCACGACGACGCCGACTTCATCAGCGACCTCATCACCTGTCTGCTGCAGGGCTGCTACCAGCGCAGGGACATCACGTGAGTCCAACCTGGCCCGGCCACCAAGTAGCAGGGTACTCGGTCGCCGGCAGTCCCTGAGCCCTGGGCGCGGCTTCGTGTGCCCCCACGAGCCGCCCGGCTGACAAGCGAGTGAAGGGTTTCTTCTGCTTGGGATGTGCCTTCCTTCCCAAGTTTTACTTACAGCAGTGCAGCCGAGCAGATTCGGACGGGCTCCGCTGTGCTTCTGTTGCTCTCTCACGCCGCGCCACCCGAGCCTCGGGCTCCCTCATGCGTCACCTGCCTGGTGAGACCATGCCTCTGCGGGTGTGTGGAGCATGTTCCCGCCCCGGCCCTTGCGTTGACCCTGGCTTGATCGCCGTGTTCCTTGCCATGCGTTTCCACACTGAATCAAAAGGCCGAGACCCGCGGGTCCCCCAGTCACCACTCAGACATGGAGGTGCCATTCTCCGTACACCCCCCCCCCCCACTCTCTTCTGGGGATGGGACTTGGGGGCCTGTGTGGTTTGAGCACAACATAGTTACGTTGTCTGTAATTTCACGTTATAACTGGATTTTCTTTAAATGGGGTTATCTAAAAAGTCCCATTTGGTAGATGGACGTTTCTGGCCAGTGTCTAACCGCTGAAAACAGTTACGATCCCTGGCCTTGGACTCGGTGAATGCCTCAGTGGTGGCTCCTTTGTTCCCAGAACACTTCCTCCCGGAAGTGAGGTTGCTCTGATGAAGGGGGTGCCTGGGGCAGGTCTTCCAGGGCAGTTGCCAGGCTGCCCTGCCTCTCCTCGGAGTGCAGCTGACTGACCGCTGGCGGCAGGTGCTGGCTGGACCAGGCTCTTGGTCTGCACAGAGCCCTGAGTGCCGGTGGGGGTGGCTGTGCAGGGACGGCGCAGCTGTGGCTCCCAAGACCGTGTTGGGAGCGCTCTGGGGTCCACACGGCACACCCTGCGTGAGATGGTGATCCTGTGGCCCAGGCCACCACGTGCGAGCTTTCTCACTGTCTGCACCAGTAAAGCCCGATAAAAAGGTAAATGAATGAGTGAGCAGTGAACCTGCCAAAGCCCTGCAGGCGGTGAGGTGATGGTTGAGGGCTCACTGCCCGAGGCAGAGCCCAGATGGCAGGCGCAGAGGATCAAGCCCCACGTGGCTCAGACGCAGGGTCAGTCTGAGCTGCGTAGTCGTGATTCGCGGTGACGTTCAGAAGGAGATCTCGTGCTTAAAACCGTGTAGTGTTTAGAAAACCTCTGAAGATCTGACCCCCACTGACTTGGGGGACTGGCCACCTCCAGCCCCAGCATTCCTCATGCTGCCTACCAGGGCATCTGGGACCCTTGGGCGTTCCTGGAGCCTCCCTGTTGGGCAGCTCTGGCTCTGCTCCCACTGGTCTTAGCTCGTCCTGCGTGTTCAGTCTTCCAGAGAAGGGTGATGTCTGTAAGAAGTGTCCTTTGTTCATAGTCAAATGAACCTGGGCTTAATATGGATAAAAGGGGCGTCTTTACAATACTGAGATTGCTTTTTGATCTCTTGTTTTAAAGGTCTTTATATTTACTCAGTAAAAACTTTTAGCTTTATTTATTTAGGCCACACGCATTCTTGGCTATTATAATTTTTGTTGCTCTTAAGAGAAGAGTGATGCCCTGGCTGGTGCGGCTCAGTGGATTGAGCAGAAGTAACCGGTTTGATTCCCATGTGCCTGGATTATGGGCAGGTCCCCAGTAGGGGGCACCAGAGAGGCAACCACATGTTGATGTTTCTCTCCCTCTCTTTTTCCCTCCCTTCCTCTCTCTCTAAATGTGAAATCTTTCTGAGAATTAAAGAGTGGAATCACATTTATACCTCAGGTACTTCTTGGTGTAGAACATGTTCTGTGTCTGCCTTGCACCTGTCCTGTGTAGGAACCTGAACGTGTTGAGTGGTTGTTGTGATTTCCTCGGGCCATCACCCCCTGCCCCCGCATCTGCACTTGAGCCTGCGTCACGCTGCAGGAGGTACCCACTGTCGTGCAGCTGGTCACTTTGGAACTTTGTGTGGTAGAAACAGCAGAAGTCCGGGAGGGCCCAGGTTCTGCAGGCCGGAAATCGGGGTGCGGCCCAGCTGTATGAGTTCAGCGTGGGGCCTCAGAGGGGACTGTGCTCCTCCCGGGGCCTGGCCGGGGAGCATCCACCTCTGTGTTTTCCGTTGCTGCACTGCAGACTTGCACAGATTTGGTAGTTCAGAGACACGTCACCTCACAGTTTCGTAGGTCAGAAGTTGTCTGTGGCTCCTTTGTGCTTCTGCTCAGGGTCCTGGGCTTTCAGTGACTGTGGCCAGGGGTGTGGCACTGGTTAGGAAGGAGTGTGGCTTCATGCAGGTTGTAGGCTGGGTTGTGATCTTGCATTTGTAGGACTGTGGCCCATGGGCTCTTGCCAGCAGTTTGCTGGGTGCTGCTGTCAGCCCTCATAGTTGGTTCCTCCTCCATGTGGCCCCCAGCTCAGCCTGTAGGAGAGGGTGTGCAGGGTCATGACCACCAGGAGGCAGAACGCGCCCTGCAGGCTTCTGGAAGCTGCGGACTCTGACTCCAGCACAGCACCGGTGACACTGGTTGGGTCGTGAGCTTGGCATCTGGTCACGTGTGCGTGGTGACTGATGGTGTGCCACAGATTGTGTGTGTCACCTGGTTGGGTTGTTGGACAAGAACCAGTTGGTGTTTGGATAATCACATATGGAGAGAATTATCAACAAGAAGTTTTGGTTTGCCCCTTGGTTCAATGGCTATAACCAGTTGTTAGTACAGTTTTGTTTTTCCCATTTTAGCATTAGTCTCCGCTCTAAGTTACAGGGAAAGCATCGACTTACATTGATAGTATCCTCTATAAAAACGACTAGTTTGCAAATAACAGATGTTCTTCAGAATAATGTTAGCTTACTTGTAATCTTTTCTTGTCATATTTTCACTTGGGTTCGTTTCATATTTCCAGTTTCCTTATAAAGTGATAAATGATAGGGAGGTCAGTCCACAGATTAGTAAGTTGCCATTTTGTGGGGAAGGAAACACATTTGAAAGTTTAAGTTTTTTTATCAGGTCACGTAGTTGACGAGAAGATGAGTGATTCCCCATCATCTGCCCTAAAGACAAGACACTAAGGAGAATCGGAAGGGACGGGGTCATACGACCTGGATTTTAGGCCTGCAAGTCAGACCCTTTTATGTTCTGCACTCTTGGCATAAAATTAATGCATTTTGGCAGTATAAGAAATGAAGTTTTAAAAAGCCACCCGGTGTGGCTTAGAGTGGAAATCCGCACCCCTCCTTGAAGAGGAGGCGTAGGTTGAGGTGTGCCACCCACGGGTCCTAGAGCCAGAGAGGGTGTCGATAGATTTCAGAAAGTGTCTGTCTCATTAGAGCCGTGTCAGGAGGTCAGTTACATGCAGGTGCCCTGCTTCATTCCGTCACCTGTTCTCCTCTGTCCTCTCCACACGCCTGCTGTGGCCGGCGGCACAGGGCCGTCCTGGGAGGGGCGCAAAGGCTGTCTGACCCCCCCCCCCCCCCGGCTTCCTGCTGTGTTGCCCCAGCCTCTGCGAGTGCTGGGTTCTTTCTGTCACTGTGCTGTGGCAGTGACTCCTGGATGCTGTCTTTTGAAATGAGGGGTTAATTTTCTTTTCTTTTTTTTAAAATATATTTTATTGATTATGCCACTACAGTTGTTCTATTTCCCCCTTCATCCTTCACACCCCTCCCCCACCATTCCCCCCTTTAGTTTATGACCACGTGTCTCAAGTTCTTTAGATTCTATATTTCCCCTACTATTCTTGCCCTCCCCCCTATCTATTTTCTACCTACTGTCTATGCTACTTATTCTCTGTGCTTTCTCCCCCCTTCTCCTCCTCCCACTCCCCTGTTGGTAACCCTCCATGTGATCTTCGTTTCTATGGTTCTGCTCCTGATCTAGCTGTCCTCTTAGTTTGCTTTTGTTTTACGTGTGGTTGTTGATAACTGTGAGTTTGCTGTCCTTTCAGTGTTAATCTTTTTTATCTTTTTCTTAGGTAAGTCCCTTTAACATTTCATATAATAAGGGCTTGGTGATGATGAACTCCTCGAATTTGATCTTATCTGAGAAGCACTTTATCTGCCCTTCCATTCTAAATGAAAGGTTTGCTGGATAGAGCAATCTCAGATGTAGGTCTTTGGATTTCATGACTTGGAATACTTCTTTCCAGCTCCTTCTTGCCTGTAAGGTCTCTTCTGAGAAATCTGCTGACAATCTGATGGGAACTCCTTTGTAGGTGACAGTCCCCTTATCTCTTGCTGCTTCTAGGATTCTCTTTCATTTGAATCTTGGCTAATGTAATGATGATGTGCCTTGGTGTGTTCCTTCTTAAGTCCAACTTCTTTGGGACTCTCTGAGCTTCCTGGATTTCCTGGAAGTCTATTTCCTTTGCCAGAACAGGGAAGTCTCTTTTATTATTTGTTCAAATAACGTTTCCACTCGTGACTGTTCCTCTTCCCCTTCTGGTACCCCTGTAATTCGAATGTTGGAATGTTTAAAGATGTCCTGGAGGTTCCTAAGCCTCTCCTCATTTTTTTGAATTCTTGTTTCTTCACCCTTTTCTGTTTGGTCATTTTTTCCTTCCTTCTGGTCCACTCCCTTGATTTGAGTCCCAGTTTCCTTTCCATTACTATTGGTTTCCTGTGCATTACCATTCATTTCAATTAGTTTAGCCTTCATTTGTTTCTCTAATTTGTGACTAAAACCAACCTGTTCTGTGAGCATCCTGATCACCAGTGTTTTGAACTGTGCATCTGAAAGTTTGACTATTTCTTCATCGCTTAGATATATTGCCTCTGGGGCTTTGAGTTGTTCTTGAGCCATGTTTTGATCTGTTCCCGCCTGTTAGGTATGAGGAGGTGTTCACCAGGGCGGGGCTACCCAGGTCGCTGGTTTGTGATGCTGTATGTGGGGCGGGGTCAGAGAGGGACAGTGGCGGTGCCCTCTGCCACTTTCCACCACTGGGGCCTGCACGGTCTGTCTCACCACTTCGCTCCTTC